CACACACACAAAAACACATGCCAGCCATGATGACAGACTGACTGAACAGATCCAACTCTTCCAATATGTTATTAGCAAGCTAGTAAGTTTTCCAGTCATATATTTAATCATTAAAATATTGTCTCGCCTCGTTCTAGTGAACTCAGTATGGCGTATCATCTCGTAAGCTAAGTGTATCGTCACACCCCTAATTCATAGTCATGTGTACTACAACTATGTCAGTCATCCTGAAATAGGCCACTGAGTATATTGTGTGTGTGTGGCGATGCACCTTGTCGACGTTGGCTCTAGTTTTGGCTGATGTCTCCACATACTGGACGCCCCACTCATCAGCCTTCCCTCGGGCCTCATCGACGGATACCTGCCGACGCTCCTCCAAGTCCGACTTGTTCCCTACCAGCAGAAGAGGGATCTTATCCTCTTCTGCCTTCACTCGCAAGATCTGCTCCCTGTCGGCACAAAGAAGATTGTTTATTTTTTGTTATTTTCACCTCCGTTCGTTCAGTAAATAAGTGACTGGCCTTTGAATATTTTCTTTACGTACAGATGAGGTCTGAACTTGGGCTAGTCTAAATGCATTCTAGTTTTTCATAATGTCCCACAATTCATTTCAAAAATATAGACCTGCAGGGAGGCCCTAAAATACAGGTATATACAAATAAATGACAAATCTGTCTCTGATTCAGTCTAACTGTGGGAATATCCCAACATGACTTTCCAAAAAAGCAACATGAAGTCTAGAGTTGTGATTTTTTTTTTTTTAACTTGTAAAGTCTACGGTGTTAAGTGTAAGTAAACTTCTGACATCATCTGAGTTGTCAAAAAGCCCTTCTGTGTCCCTGTAAATTGCTTGAACTGTTTTTTTTTTAATTTACAGCACTGAATGTGTTGAATATTGATTGCTAGACTGCTCAAGAAAAAGAGTGAGCTGGTTTGGGATAGTTCAGCAGCATTTTTCAGGTGCATCTGATTCCATCGTGCCACTTATTAAACTTTGCACTTGAGCTTCAGTATTTTGCTCATGCTGAAGATGAAAAGAAGCTCTCTAAAGGAGCTTAAAAGAGTAGCACAGAAACAGTACTGCATTACAAAATAAAAGTAAGATAGTACCTCAAAACAGTAACCACAAACAATGCATACGTGTATATAAATATATTCTACAAAAAGAATGTAAACAATTTACCAGAATGACTTCCATTATGTCAGTGAGGGTCTATGCTAACTGTTTAATAAGTAATTAATGGCCAACACAAATACGTGTTTATAGATATATTCTACAAAAAGAATGTAAACAATTTACCAGAATGACTTCCATTATGTCAGTGAGGGTCTATGCTAACTGTTTAATAAGTAATTAATGGCCAACGCAAATACAGTAGTCTAAAACTAGCTATCAACTTCATGAACTCAGCTATCATCAGAGTTCATGAAGCGGCACTTGGTTGCCAAGCACACACGCTCTCATCAGTACCTGAATTCAGCAGTGGCAGAGAAGGACTCGTGCTCTGTAATGGAGAAGACCAGGAGAAAACCCTCCCCGCTGCGAAAATAGTTGTCTCTGATGGCGGCATAGTCCTCCTGGCCTGCTGTGTCTAGGATGTCAATCTGGACCTCCTCTCCATCCAGAACCACCTTCTTCCTGTAGCTGTCCGCCTTGGTAGGCTCATAGTCCTCCACAAACTGGGGGCACAGAGTTATTTAGAGATTCTGAAGATTAAAACATTCCCCAAGTTAAACGTACATGCATAAAGCAAACAGTGAAGTATAAGCACATACTGTCTGCAGTCTGTGTAGACAGCTACTGCTTAAAATGGAAATGTAGCAGAGCCATCTGATGAGCATCAGACAAATGATTGCTGATATGTTGCCAGTGGACTAAAGGAAAATGACATTTTAACAGGAATCTCCATATTAACCTTTTATCTGTTTTCAGCATCACTGTGATCTAGGGGCCAATGTTCCATACAATCACCATCTTACTTTCATCTAACTAATAGCAGCTTCACCATTTTCCAAACCATTTCAACCTGAACATTTCTTGCAGTTGGGCCACATGAAAAGCTTTCAGATGGTGAATCACTAAAAGGAGGGCTTTAAATTAGAAGCCATTAGAGGTGTTGACTTATTCAATCATCAGCCACCTATCTAAATCATATGATATCATATCTAAACTAGGAACTGGTTCGACAAAGAGGTGCAGGTGACTTGTGTTTGCTGTTTTAATTTGTTTAAAGAAATGCGTTGACTCACCTCATCATACATGAACTGCAGTGTGAGGGCCGACTTCCCCACACCTCCACTGCCTACCATTATTACCTTGTGCAGTGCCAGAGAGCTCTGGTTTTTACTTTTACTGGTAGCCATCACTGGATTCTTCTGTGGGTCTCTCTCACACTCACACACACATACACGCTTCTCTGGACACAGACAACCTGTGAACGACAGAAAGGGAAACATATCAGTAAATAACCACCATACATAAAAAGCAAACATGTGGACAAGAGCAGGGACAGATGGCAGCTGCTACTTAACAGCTGTCACTATGACAGTAACATGCTGTGCCAAGACTCTAGGCTTTGCTCCAACTAATCTGAGTCCTAACCCCCACCCTTCCCATTAAAGTGCCAAATTGCCTACTCATGAATCCTAAGCTTTATAAAGTTCACCATCAAAAGGTCATTGCAGTTGATCAGAAGTAATGAAGCCATCATTCTCCACTGCAAGACGGCATTTAGAGAACGCATTAAAATAGAGCACTGCGTGCTAAACGCCTTCCATTGCTGGTCATCGATGTGCTCCATAATGGCCCTCAATTACCAATTCACGAAACGTTGGTCAGCTTATCAACTGGAAACAACTACTTAAAGATTTGTTGTCATTACAGTTTGATATCATTATGTCTAACTGTATGCAAACACCTTTTAAAGTCAAAAGAGGCCATTTCTATTTAAATATTGTAATTACTGGTCACATTTTAATATATGAAGTTGAATTTTTGCCTTACTATTCTGTGATGATTGAAGGAACCACACAATCCTATTTCAATATTTACAAAAATCTGCTGTCACTTGAGGCAACAGTATGACACAGTGGTTAGTATTTTAAAAACAGGGGTCCATCTGTTGTAGAAAAACATTATATAGAATGTGTAATATCTGGTTTGAGGCTTTAATTAACGGACCTTTTCAATGATTGCAGGCCATCCCTGTTACTGTATGATAGGCTATATCAACTCGTGGTCTTATTGCAAAGTACTGATGAAATATTCACAGCTATATCAGTTCACATTAACAGGAAAATGATTGGATATTGGCAAAAATTAAAACAGCCACTGATGGCCATTTTAGCAGATGTCTGGGCTCTGGCATTTTGCCTTTTATTGCAGTGGTCAGCAGTTGTAAATGAATGACTGATAATGTGACAAGTGAAATTTTGTACTTGTGTATCATTTCAGCTTATACATCAAGTTCAGCAGATATGGCTGAGGAGAGTAAACAAGGGGGGAAAACAAAACCAAACCGTAGCTCCAATTCTGGTCATTTCACATTCACACATTAAGGCTGAAAATTCTTTGTATGAAAACAGAGATCACCAATTTCTACATAAATGTAAATTTGTACATTTGACCTGCCACATTTCCTTTCACTGTCCAAAAGCAGAACACATTATCACTTCAGTATGCAGCAACCAGGCTTATAACGTGCTAGGCTGTGGATGCAGCATCATGGTTCTACTCTCTCAAACCAGGAAGTATGACCTGTGGCCTTCCTGTCTTTGTTATCAGTCACCAGGCCAGTGAAATAACTCATAAGAAAAACACACACACACACACACACACATATATATATATTAACCTATACCAAAGTCACCAATTGTGCATAAGGGTCACTATTTAAATTATTCACTTGTAACCCACTTCCTTGTGCACATGCACATGCAGATTCCAGTACTATAAATAAAGTAATCATAGTTATTAAACTAAAGACAAAAAAGTGCTGAGTGCAGACTTTCCAAAGGAAGTTTGGACATCAGGGGAGGAGATCCTGCCACATTTCCAACAGCTGCAGTTCAACACAAGCTGCCCACAGGGTTAAAATAGAGGGAACTGGCAAAAGAGCAATTAATTTTAAGGCCTGACCCACAATGCAACTGGAGTCTGCTTGGTCCTGGTCCTTGTTAGGGGATGCTGGGTTATGGAGAAGGAGGGGCATAGTCTAACAGACCTCTCTGGTTGCTAAGCTCCTGAAATATAGATGATACCAGTGCAGTGAGGGCTACAGGAATTCATTAAGATTCCCTTTGGTGAATGGGCCACTGTTCCCTCCCTGCTCATCTTAACACTCAGGGCAGGGATATGCCAAGGTTTGCCAGGACTCACACAGATACTAATAAAGGATTACAGACAGAACCAAAGATCCCACGCTGATGCCACCAAGCCTTACAAATAGGCTGTTTTCTTAAAATGGTACATGACCACCATTCATCCATGCTTTGATCACTTAGGCACCCATCAAAGTCAGCTGACATCTATCACTAACTATTTTATCATTCATTCACCTGATTTTAATGACATTAAAATGCTGATTGGTATTTGTCCTTAACTTTTTTTCAATCGTTTCTTGTTTTATCTCCTTGTGTTGTAAGAAGTGGAGCTCTTTCCTTAGGTATGATCTAATCACTGAACCCTCTATCACATGCACAGAAGCTGGGAGTTTAACTGGCACGCTCTGTGGGAAGTAGGATAAGTCCACCTATATGCATGTGGAAATACAAATCGTGTCCAGAGAACCCAATGGCCCTCCCCTTCTCTTTCTGGATTCCTGAGGTCACAGGAATGAGGGGATTTCTTCCCACCATCTAATGGAGAAAACAGGCCCGATATTAACCCTCCAAGGATCTGAGTAGTACAAATCAATGTGAATGGTGCAGCACAGATGCTGTGTGAAATATCCACCAGAAGTTAAAGGATGTGATGTTATTTGGGACGAGAAAATTATGGTGAAAGGCCTATCAAAAATATTGATCTTCAACTGACTTGCAAACACCTTTCTCCTTCTGTTATATCTAAACAGATCATCCAATTAAAAATCTGCTGCCAGCAAAACAAAACTCCCTGATTAATGTTTCAGCTGAAAATCTAAATCTTTCTATCCCGTCACATTTTGCCACACCCGGACTAAGAATGTTTTTCTACACCAGGACATGCAAGGGAGAGCTACACCTTGGATTCTGGCAGCTACCTCTTTATCTCGTGATACTTACAGTACACCTTGCTGTGGTCAAAACAAAATATACCAAATGAGTCATCCTAGTTATGAGACGTGTAAGAATGGATCTTCTGTAACACACAGCTACTAAAAGTCATGAGCTTAAGGTTTGTCTATCTCAAAGCAACAATGCGTAATTTAACAGCAAATCACATGCAGGAGAGCATCACAGAAATGAATTTAGTCAAGATGTAGGAGTTATAATGTTCACCGCCAGTGGAAATCAGGAAATGATTTAACAGTATACGGCAGTAAGGAAGACACATTCAAAGCAGCAAATAAGTGTCCTACATTGCATACTAAACTTTTGGCCAGGGGAGTGCACAGAGGAGCTTTTGACAAAACTGGGCAGTTAAATCCTCTCTGTGCTAAAATACTACAGCAACACCAAGTCGGCTGCATTTTCATACATTTCTATTCTACACCCCTTTCCTTTATTATCACAAATATAGTGCTCACATCTTCACTAATCCACTTGGTGTCATGACTCATGAAAAACATCACACCGTGTTGTGGTACAGCATATAGAGTAAATACAGTGTTACACATCATCAGCATGATTCAAAAGCCATTTTGGGGTTAGCCTTTTCCACAAGCAGATGTCTTTACTAACCACCCTCCAGCTCATATCAACAGTCTTATCAAAGTACTCCCATTTCCCATTACCTAATCATTCCACAGGACTGATTCCGGGTGGACAGAAAGAAGAGATCAGATCTCAGTACCAATTTACAGACAAAACCATTTGTTCGTGCTAAATACAGATCTGGCTAATACCTTTCTACCCTTAAAAAAAAAAAGAAAGAACTGATTTCAGTGAAATAAACTTGAAAGTAATTGGTGTATATGTCTCTTTTCCATATTTAATACAACTAAAATGTTGCTGTTGATTTTTAATCTAACATTGTTTTAAATGAATGAAAATGGCACGAGCAGAAATACTGGGACCTCCGGGATCAGGACTCTTAGGCCACTTCAGAACTGTGCCCTGCACCGTAACAAACTTATTATCCTCCATGTTTCACAGTAGGGCCGTGATCCACAGATTTTCAAGGGGACCCAACAACCTAAGGTGAACAGGTCTGTGAGTGTTGGATGTCAACAGTGGGTTAAGGGGAACTGATGCCTCTAAAAAGTTGAATTATCACAGTGTTCTGCAACAGATATTTGCATAACGTGTTCCTCTTCCTTACAACAGGTTGGAGTGCTTCTCATAGTTGGTCACTCACACAGAGCCATCACATACAGTATATCTAATTATTGGCTGCCTTGGTAGGAGAAAAATCACACCCTTAAAGTCATTTCTTCCCCTGTAAGTGGAAAAAAATACATAATAATCTGATTCACAGATCTTGGAAAAGAGTTGGATGTTCCCACTAAGAACCAATTTCTAATTCCTCACGTATGGTTCCTATAGTAATTAAATGACAGTCAGGCAATATGTATAACCTCCGTTACTCCTCACTGACAGAACTGACAACTGATGGTGGCTTGGTATGCACCTATCTCTATCACTGTCTCCTGCACATAATCACTCACTTTACAAGTCCAGTAAATCAAGCCTTGCAACAGTCTTTCTGACCTTGTCGCCCACTACCAAGATCATTAACTGATTTCAGACGTTTTCTCATGCTAGTATGACTACACACCAAGAACTCAAGTTTTATATGAACACCATCAGAAAATATGTAAGCTGATCAGAAAAGCAGATGGAGCACTCTGATATGAGCCAACTAGACTGTGTCCAAAACAAGGGAACCTGGACCCTTGCAGCAAATGTTTGTCATATTCTGATAAGGGCCAGTAATTAGAAGAAGCCACAGGGCTTAGCGTTAAGAAAATAATTTGGCTTAAGACGAAGACATAATTGGAGCATATTGATAAACATCCATGACAGCAGGAGAGAAGGGATGCGGGGCCGGCTGGACCTCATTCACCAGACCTTTCTCCACCTCTGATGTCACATGTCTACAACTATGTAGTAAGCCTAATCTTAGCCAGAATAAGACACATTCCAGCTGTGTTGCCACGTCCACGAAGTGACTACAGTGTTACTAATGAAAACAGTAAATACTGAGTTGATGTAGTCATGAAAAATGCCAGCCATCAATAGTTCCCCAAAAACAAGAAAGTTTGCATGAGCTTTTACATATGTGGAGCCCTACAACAGTGCCAAACTATGTCTAAATGCGTTTCCCTGAAACACTGCAATTGTGCTGGAATCAGCACTTAGTTAATGTTTACAAGGGGTTGACCTTAATGTGATTCCAGATGTGTTAACTGTAACAGTCAGCAGCATTTGCTAACTGACAGACATGAGGCTTAACTGAACCATCCAATAAAATTACACAAAATGGGATTTACAGTCTTTGAAATGTAGGAGACATCACACACATACACAACAGTCATTTTCATTGATCTTGTCTTCAACTTAATAGGAGGTTATGGGCAAGTACTGGCACTTCACAGTACACATAGACAACAAACTTCAGAATCTGAGATCACACTCAAACTGACAACATGGTGCAAAGCTTTAGACCATCTGCTATGAGTGTACATTGTTGCACAGAAGTGTAAAAGCGTAAAAACTAGCGATACCTAAAGACGCACCAATTGACTGGTTGGAAATCGGAAATGGGTGGTTTTTAACTTGACCAGCTGTGATCAGTGACCAGCCAGTCACTCTTTAGATATCAGATTCTGTGCCAGCCCACGCTGGACTATTGAGGGTCTGCTCTGGGATTCAATTTTTCCCCCAAACTCCACCACAAAACACTATAATTAATTCAATCATGTTTAATCCTACTCAGCAGATCTTTGAAAGGCCCCAAGAGGATGAGCGGTGTCAATGTTTAATCTTTACAAACCTCATAACACAAGCCAATAAGAAAATAATCAAGAAGTAGTCCAACACATTTTCCTCATCATTTTAATAACCTGCAGTTTCACACTTTTACTGACTGGCATAATTTCAAATTACACACACCTACACTTGCTGATAACAGAGTGGCTCGTCTTTTTAGTTTTTAGACCTTTTTGACTTGCCACAAAGCTGTCTCAGTACTGCGAAATCTATCAACACACTAACAGTGTTTAAGGAATGTAATGTATAACCCTTAGATATAAACCAGCAAGTGTTGACTGAATAATCAATTACTCTTTCACTGCACACATTGAATTAATAGCTGAAAAAGTAAATGACATCTTATGCATCTCTCAATTGCAAATTCCTGTATTTATTCAGTAAAAATGGCTATAAGAAAAGCTCAGAAAACACTCTGGTTAAGTGTTTTTTAGATTGTTTTTGACAGTATATATATATATATATATTCAACCAATCTCTTATAAAAGGCCTTATAAGAGCTGAAAATGGTACAACCATCTGCAAAATTGTGCATCAATAAACACCAAAGTGACATACAAAATACATGTTTGTTATCAGGCACCCTTAGTGGAAACATTATTATACTTTTCTGTATTTTGACACATTAAGAGGACTCAAGTTCCAAAAGCAGGGCCCAGGGTGCATCACATGTCCATGCATGATCAACTTTAGCAGATTAGAAAACAAAAACATATGACTGCTATGTACACTGTTATCAAGCCACTTGGGTGTGTCAAATCCTCTGAGGGAAAGCTTTCAGCACAACCCAGCCTGAGTGATTCTCGACATGAATATCAATTACACAAGTTGATTTGACCAAAAAGCTAAGGATAAGGTAAGGATAGCTTAACTAAACCCCAGCTTGTGTCAGACACTTAACATAACTTAACTTGAGTTTACACTTGTGTTATAAGGAAACGACATCGTCTAATGGGAGATGACAGTCATCATACGAGCTCATAAGCAAGGACTTTGGTTATACGACTACCGTTAAACTACTTACCGCAGCACAACAATGTTAGCTAAATAACATAACTGAACTTGAGTTTACACTTGTGTTATAAGGAAACGACATCGTCTAATGGGAGATGACAGTCATCATACGAGCTCATAAGCAAGGACTTTGGTTATACGACTACCGTTAAACTACTTACCGCAGCACAACAATGTTAGCTAAATTAATACAACGCATACAGGCACATTCCTTCATTTCAGTCATTTTGAAAAAAAGTGTCCACAAGTTAATGCCAATGTCCACATCAACAGGAATAAAGAGCGACTGGTAGCTAAGCCAACGATAAGTTAGCTAACTACTAATGATTATTAACATGACGTCTTATATTAGCGTTATGTTACACCCGTTATACAACAGGCATCCGAGACAGCTAACTAAACTTATAACACTACCACTGGAAGATATTTCAAGTAGCCAGTTATCTCCATAAGGAGTTTATTTGCACCCATTTTATGTTAAACGGTCACCCTCTGCGTCTTCTTGTCGCTCATCCTTCCTTAAAACAGGTGTGTTTTTGTTTTATACAAACAGTCGTGTTAACAAACTCCCTGTTAACATAACCCACTAAGAAATTTGCGAGGCCTTACCAAAGCAGGACTGGTGTTTCTACCTCTAGTGGATGATTTCGCTGATAGAGGATTTCGATGCATCGGCTCTGAAAATACAAACCGCTCCTGCAACAAAAGCCCCACCTTCCGGACATTAAGCAGCAGGTGACCGGACGTGACGTCACAGTAGTGGTTCATATTTCATTGTTTTGATTTTCACTGATGAGCGATGGCCTACAAAATACAAGGCTCGATGAATGCAATTTAATCTTGCTTTAAAAAAACGATCAAGTATCCATTTATTCAACAATAAGCATGACCCATGTACGGAATGAGGCAAGTGATTTGTTACAGAAGTTAATCGTTTTTGAGGGACTGGATCTGGAACTGAACACTATTGGGAATACTGACATTCATTAACACGAACCGGACGAAGATTTTGACCCTGAAAAAAACTTTTTTAAGAACTCGGAAAATAACTGCAAGTATTACACGGATGAGCAGTTTAACAGCAATGTCAAGACTGAAAACAAATTATCACTAATTCACTTCAATAGCAGAAGTTTATACGCAAACTTTCAGAGTATAAAACATTATCTTAGTAGTCTAAAACATTCTTTTAATATAATTGCTATTTCTGAAACTTGGATTAACACTGTAAGGGAAATGGATTTGGACCTTGATGGCTATGACTTGGTATGCACAAACAGAGAGAATAAGATGAGAGGTGGTGTGGCCTTGTACATAGATAAAAACTTTTGTTATAAGAAAGTAGACAAAATGTCTAGGGTAGTAGATAATGTACTCAAATGTGTGACTGTAGAACTACATTTGGAAAAAAAGAAGAATGTTGTAATAAGCTGTATTTACAGAGCACCTGGAGCCAGCATAGAAAAATTTAATGACTGGCTGGAAGAAAATTACTCGTCAATAAGTCATAAATTAATGTTCATATGTGGTGACTTCAATATAGATTTGTTAAATCCTAACAAGCACACAGGAACTGAGGAGTTTATTAACACAATATATAGATGCAGTTTATATCCAAAAATTACAAAACCAAGTAGAGTAACAACCCAGCATGCAACACTAATAGATAATATATTTACTAATGATATTGACAGCAAAATGTCAAGTGGATTACTTATAAATGATATTAGTGATCATTTACCTG